TTAAAAAACTTAAGAGCCTGTTCTCTTTACCATTTTTAAGCCGTTTTCTGTTTTCGATTTTCCAAAACAGTGAAAACGCGTTCTCTTTCCTATTTTCGAAAACGCGTTTCTGAAAACAAATTAAAGTTTTACAAAGAAAACTCAAAACGACAAATTTGTCGTTTTGGGTGTGTTTGTTTTCTTTCTCATTTTCGAAAATGTGTTTTTGAAAACAAGTTAAAAATTTACAAAGAAAACCCAAAACGAAAAATTTGTCGTTTTGAATGTTTTCAGTTATAATCAAGTCAAAATTTTCAACATACGTTTGGGGCGTTTTCAAAACAATTTTTGAAAATGTCAAAAAGAACATATTTTCAACAATCTCAAAATAGACACTCAAAATACAAAATTCAAAATGAATTCCAAACACAAAGAGAACAACCCTCAGGGTTTGTTTTCTTTGCTATTTTCAAATTATTTTTAGTTTTCAATTTTCAAGAATACTGAAAATACGTTTACTTACCTATTTTCAGAAACGAATTTTAAAAAACAAGTTTAAAATTTACAAAGAAAACGAAAAACACCAAAAAAGTCGTTTTGACTACTTTCAATCAAAGCTAAGCCAAAATTTCAAAACGCAGAAAAAGACTAAATTTTGCCAATAGCGGGATAGGTTAGTTGGGAGAGTCACGGATTTTCTAAAAGTCACGAGTTCAATTCCTTTTCACCACTATTCAATACAAATAAATTTTCTTTTTATATGCACAATACAAAATTTTTCAAATAAATCAGTAGCTGAGATTCGAATCGGGGTCATATATATTGAATAATCAGTTTTTTAAAATTAGAAAGTAAACTCATTTTTTTATTTTTTTATTTTTGAAAACAAGTTTTCAAAATGACAAAAAAAGGCGTTTTCAACAATCTCAAAATGAACACTCAAAACATAAAACCTAAAATGAAATCAAAATTCAAAACAAAAAATTGAAATACGAAGAAAACATCCCCTTATTCTTCTCACTCATTTTCATCTTTTTCTTCCAATAAAATAATTTTACACATAAACCAAAATTTTTTCCTACTTTTTAGCCCATGTTCGACAACCATTATTTTGGGAAAATAGAGTTTTGAATAGTAATTTTTAGAGGAATGTGTGGTTAAAATCTAGAGAACAATATTGAGTTTACGTGCTAAATATTTTATGGCGTGAATCTGTAGTTGAAAACAAATATGTAGAAAAAAAAAGTTTGAAAATAATTGTTGTAAAACACGGGCTCATATTTTTCAAAAATCACTATCACAAAATAAAGTAAACCCTATATATATCTTGTAAACTAAGCCGCACAGTCATTATTGGGGTAAAATTGAGTTTTAAATAGTAATTTTTTGGAGAACTAATGGTTAAAAATTAGAAAAAAAATTGAATTTACATGTACAATATTTTATTATGTGAATGTGCGATTAATAATAAACACATAAAAAATAGTATTTTTAAATAATGATTATAAAATACGGGTCAAGCTAGCATAACAACCTTTAAAACGTGCGAGTCTCGACATTATTTATATATTTCATAATTGATCCCTAGTCTATTCTCACAATATAAAATTAGTCTTCAATGTTTAAAAAGAGAACAAATTAATCCCCAACTTTTCACTATCATCGTCATCCCTGACGTGGGTTGGAGGTGGGATGGGGTTGGAACTTGGAACCTTCAACTCCATTCTCCCATTATATCCTACTACATTAAAAGAGGG